ATGAATATTCATCAGTTTTGTAAGTTTCAAGTCAAAAGGTAAAATGGTTTTCCACTTATCGTGTTATCAGTGCTGCATATATGCTGAAAAAAGTGAAAAAACAGCATAAATTCCCTAAAAGTGACCCGATCATGCTGATTTTCAAACTTGACCTGCGTATTATGAATATTCATCAGTTCTGTAAGTTTCATACCAAAAGAAAAAACAGTTTTCCATTTATCGTGTTATCGGTAAAAGTGCACGGCGACGGCGACGACGGCGACGACGGCGACAGCGACGACGGCGACGGCGACGACAGACGCAGATGATGGCTATATGTACAGACACATCTGTGTCTGTACATAAAAAGAATAAATCAAAATAGTTTTTCATATTTTTATTTCGTTAGTAATAAAATGCAATAATTTGTTTTGTTTATATTGCACCAGAGTAAAGATTTTCAAAAATATTTCTCACGAGGTCACACAATTGTGTATAATAGATATAAATAAAATTCAAATAGATATTTCACCTGTTTCACATAGAAATTTCCTTTTCTGGTAACAAAATTTATAAACCAAAGAGAAGCTCGTTGCAGTAGAGGCCTCACATTTTTACAAAGGTACAACACAATTTAAACCTATTTTTCTCTCTTAATTTGTAGAATTGATATCATTATTCAGTTGCACTCTTTGATTTCTTCTTGCTTCGAACTTTATTTTTCTCATCTTTTGTTACTTCATTCGGCTCCCGATAGCCCATTGGTAGATTTGAGTTTTCTTCCTCCACAACCAGTTTGTCTTGTGTATAGGATTCAACAAAACGGGAATAGTTCTTAAAGACATCGTCTTGTTCGTCTAACTTGATCGCATCACGCAGTCTCCTGTCATATTTACCCTCAATGAATTTCTTCTGAAACTCCAGCTGGGGAAACATGTCTGTAACAGGATATCACAGGTATTTTACTAATACACTCAAATTTACTTATTTTCTATGGTATTCCCTGTATAAAATATGTATCATCTGTTTATATACCTGAAATATGCTGTTTTTAAACTTAACTTGAAATGGTGAAACCAGCAGATTCAGCAAATTTTGTTAAGCAAAGAATTTGAAGACCAAAATTGAAAAGTTAAGACATTTCCAAATTATCTAATTAAATTTTAGTTAAAAGGCATCACAGAATTAGATTCTATGCATGAGATGTGTCCACCAGATTTGAAAAATAAAATTATTGGGAGAGTGATTTTCAAATGAAGAAATACCTGCTTTCTCTTCCAAAGCATTCCTAGCAGCTGCCATCTCTGCCAGCCTGATACTCTGGCCAGTCCCTCTGGCTAACCTCTGACCTCTGAAGTACACAGCCACCTGGTACTGCCTTGTATTAGTAGCACCTGACGCACCTAGGGTCCTACATAAGAAAACAATGCTTTACAGAGAGCATAACTGACCACAATTACGCTGTGCATGGTGCCAATCGCAACTACAATCAAGCTGCATTACTGTTATCAGTCTCAGTCAGGGCAGTTACAGATATAAGGGTGGGTTAAAAATTGAAAAATTTAACTAAAATTAATAAAAAATATTTTGTTTGCACCTTGAAAGTATCATCATAAAAGAACTTTTTTTTTTTGGGGGGGGGGGTGTAAAAGCACATAAGGACCCATTCAGATTCAGACATCGTACAGTCTGGGTCGATCCAACTCTGTGGGGGGATTCTGTCTTAAGTGCAATCAATGTAATCAGCTTAATTGTCTCACACGGCTCCTTGACCAGCTAAGGGGTAATTTAAAAGTCTAGTGGACACTGGTATAATGTCTGAATCTAAATGCTGTCTAAAAAGCACATAACCGATCCATACTTGTACACTGGTCTGTCTGGCTCTCCTTGATTCAGTTCTCTCAGTGTCAGACAGCACTGCTGTAACTGAGACTTGGGATCATTCCATTCTTGGTTCAAGATGAATTGCTGAAATAACAAATACAGAGCAAATGGCATTTAAAGAGAAAATACATAATTTAGTGAAATTCTTGGTGGTACTTGGTTGAAAAGCCTGTGATATAGCAGCAAACAAGACCTGATTAATTATGCTTTATTAAGCAATTATGTTATCTAAAACCATTTTAAACCCAATAAGAAGAATATCCAACCCCAAGCATTTAAAAATCACAACATTTCTTCCTAAAAGTCTGTACACTAGAAAAGGTATAGAAAACCTACTGTGAGCCTTGGGAAGAAGCAGACTTGACAGAAAACTTCACAATGTTGCAAGTCCTTGTCAACATACAGAGCACCAACAAAAGCTGCAAAAATACACAATGACTTGTTGAAATACATCTGACATACCATTTGAATATATTTCTCTCTCAACATCAGAAGAAGTGTATATGAATACCAATTAATAAATATGGATTCCAATTTTTATTGGAATCTTTATCTATCACTGTACTATAATACCCCAGAGCATCTGCCTTTATTCCCCTAAGCTTTGAGGTATGATGGATACAGATACAGAATCCAACACAATACTGATACCTTCCAGAGTGTCAGCCTTCCCCTTAGTTTTGAGCTCTACAGGCTTTCTCCTCCCATCCTCTGGTCCCAAGTTGAGGTATTCCAGCATTCCCAGCTCCTCAGCCACCAGAGCCTGGTTGTGGTTGTTCACCAGAGAACTGCGCAGCAGCTGGAATACAATATTATCAGGGATGAGACCAATCCTCACTGAAAAAGTAGGAAAATTGACTGGGGGTCCAGGGTACATGATTCACAAAAATGACCCAAATGACCCTGAAAAGTTTTAATGCCATGGGGGTAAAATGTCCTCTATTTGAGAAAGGAACCCCTCACCTCCCTTTTGAAACTGCAGTCTATAGGCCTGTCTACTTACTGACAAGTGTCCTTCATGGTGGCCTGGGAAATGTTTGTACAGATATTCCGCAGCAATGAGATTCATGATGGTGTCTCCTAGCAACTCAAGTCTCTGGTTGTTACCCCTGAAACCAATCATAAAACACATATCATTGGAATCAAGAGAAATTAAAAACAGGTATCTTAAAATGTGAATAAGTCTAAAAAAAAGTGATTCAATGCCAGTAATTTTCATCAACTGCCACTCCAAATATTTTCTACATAATTATCTAATTATTTCAATAAGGAAAAACAACTTGGTCTAGAACCTATGAACTAATTTTGTCTATGATGATTTTAAAACATGGTAAGAGTATTTATTTAAACATAATAATTCATCAGTCCATAGAAATATGACCTCTTTTTGGTTGTTTTCTTTTTAATGTTTTTCCCATGACAATTTTTCTTTAAACATTAAATATGTTTTCTTAATATTAACATCATACTTTGCAAGTTAATGAAGACTTTTGATTTAAACTAACATTCTCTGCATTGTTACAAAAACACCTTTATCCTTTCTGTGTCATATAAACTTACATGGTAAGGTTGTTGTATGGCACCCTCTTGGTGGTGAAACATTTGGCCAAGATACGAATGTTGCTGAACTTTATCCCCGTGTTCTCTTCAAATTTGGTCAGCTTCTAGAGAAATATCCACAGGAAAGATTTATCACAATTAACTTTATAACCAATTATAATAATAAGTTGTCATTGTACAATGTACGGTGATAATTGTCCGAACCAAATTATTTCTTTGAACTGAATTAAACAGCTTTTTAATAATTGATAAAGAATACTATCTGTCAAATATTGACACAAAATGGCTGACTGATAAATACCTGCAAAACAGGACTTTTTTCAATCCAGTGCCTGTCACCATTTGGCTCATCATCCTGATAAAAAAATGGCAGTCACAATATATCACTATCTTCAGATGGAGTTATAAATGGATCTATGATATCCACACAAAGTGCTAACAAGTTCCTTTAATAACTTAGAACTTAGAGAAGGCATAATTTTCTATGGCTTCGAGATGAATTTAGTATCTGTTTCTATTGCACACTTCCTCTGCATATTTGTGAAATCTTTACTGCATTCATAAAAGCAAGTAAATAGCCTGAATACCTGCAGAGTTTAGGTTTAGTACTCATCTTATAGGTGCCTCAGCAGAAAATTGCACTGGGGCCACTACTACATTATCAAAACAATATCCATTAAATGATCTGAATGCTATCTGCATCACTGGTAGGACTTGGGTGAAGCCTCTCACTTCCAGTAAACCCACCTGTAATGGATGTAGAGGAAGATTGGTCCACACTTGATACCTCTTGGGGTCGTCTGCAAATAGTGTGTTGGCTACTATTCTATCAGCTACCTCTATACTGGAGTCAATTAACAGAGCACCTGTAATAAAGAAATGAAAGATTTTCTGACAATCATGTATGGATCTGTTATGTCCAATACTGAAATGATCTCACCTTCCTAGGGAGTACCAACCCAAGCAGAGGCATGTGGTCCTCATGTTTGTTAAATTAACATCTGTTTCATACAGTGTAAATATGAATTTTCTTTCATAACAACATATTTTGGAGGGATGAGACTGCCATTGAGTGAAAAAGTCAGAAAATATGGCCTGGGTCCAGGGGGCTGCCTAGGCCAATAATTTTTGGCTCCTAAAAAGTAGGAAATCTGCCAAGAGTCAGAACAATCTCATCCCTAATTGTGATAACTTCTTTTCAAAGTTTACATTGCATTCAATGGCCTCATTCTGCTAGCATGCACACTCACAGAGCTTACCTAACAAAGCCTCAAAGCAGTTAGCCATGGCATGTTTCATGGCAGAGTCTCTACACAGATCAGGACCATGGGCATACAACATGAACTTGTGCAGCTGGATCTTCTGTTAGCAAAAGAAGAAAAAAAACTGTAATATGTAATATCAGTCAGAAAACCTCAGTTAGTTTACATACAGAAATAACTCGATAGTAACCCTGATAAAAAAATTAAATAAATCTTGTATTTTTCAATCCTTTCCATTTTGTGTCAAACAACTGTGACAAACAGTTAAAAACTGGAAAAATTATGAATATTCATAAATTCTGTAAGTTTCAAACCAAAAGAAAAAACGGTTTTCCACTTATCGTGTTATCGGTAAAAGTGCACGGCGACGGCGACGACAGACGCAGGTGATGGCTATATGTACAGACACATCTGTGTCTGTACATAAAAAGAAGGAAAAAATAAAACTGAAACAACAGTAGAAATAGTTTGGACTAAGTGTGTACTACCTTAGCCAGTACAGACAGGTGCTGGTTCTGTACCAGGGCTGCCCTATATGTTGCCAAACCTCCCTCCTCCAGCTCAGGAAACATGTAGAATAAATGGACACTGGAAAAACAATATAATACATACCACATTTAAAGTCACTGAAGTGTCAATGTATACATGCATATGTGCACACACATGAACACATACACAGTCACTGATATTAAATGATTCCCTAACATATGTAACATTAAAAACAGAAATAAAAAACAATGACTTTGATAAAAAAAAATGAGTAAATAAATCAACAGAAATGATGAGAATTTGACCTCAGGTCTAAACAGATTAATACTACAAGAAGTTCTTTTGCACATTCAAAACATAAAAATACAAAAAAAGAGGAAAACTAGAAATTTTTTACTGAAAAAAAAATTAAGATCTTTTGAGAGAAGACTTGGTGACTTTAATGGTAGTTTCTGTACCTTGTGAGGAACTCTATGACAGCATCCCCCAGAAACTCCAATCTCTCATTGGTATTGATGTGTGACCTTTGTTCTTCACGGAAACCCATTCTGGACATAATATTGATCAGTACATTCAGACCTGGAAAATATTTAAATTTCATTAAGACCTGTGATTTATAATATTAAAATCACTCTAGTTTGTTATAAAAATAAACAACAACAAGATATTTATTTCAGAGACAAAACATGGAAATGCATTTGAGAGAATGCTTCAAAAATGCTACACAGAATTCCTTTCACTTCATCAAAAGCATTATCATAATTTTTTCACCTCGTTTTCTAGCCCGTGACACCTTCTCTCCATACTCTGGTGTTCTCAAGCCACAGGCAGACAGGGAATTTCTGGCATGGTCAGGATTTGTGCCATAACTTAGTTTATAGGAAGAGTGTGTCATAGCCAGCTGAAAGGAAACAAGTCAAAATGTTGATCCTTATTACCAAACTATAATTTCAAACTAAATCAATTTGAAAGCAATATAACACAAAACTTGGAGTCACAACAAATAACTGCCCTTTAAATAATGCAAAACAAAAAAGAAAAGAAATGCCCCCGTTAAGAGCACGAACTTTGAGAAGTTGTGAATATTAGAATAAGTACACAATTTTGAAACAAAGTCTAATAACTGAATTAGAGAATAATATCTGACCTGTAGAAGAGATCTGTCTTTAAAGTTGTATTGTATAATATTCTCCAGCTCTCCCAGACACATGTGGAACCTCAGGTGTGTGATCAACACAGGTAACAACAGGGCATGCTGGAATAACATGGACCAAACAGACTGCCATTAATTTTACACAACTTTTTTAAAGAACACCACACTTTCCAGTAAATACTAAAAGTTTTTTACCACGAAGAAAAAAAATTATCATTTTTTTTTCAATCTAAAAGTAACAAAACTACATCAATCAGAAAAGCTTGGTTTTTGCAAGCAATGTCTAATGTAGGACATGACCACAAAGTACCTGGCATACATCCGATCTGATGCCAGTTTTGATGAAGCTTTCTGCACTGAGCTCTATAGTCACCTCTCTCTTCATTGTTCTGGAATAATGTCAATCAGGCATCACTATTTTTAGAATTCATTCACAAGCACCCTGACTTGAAAATTGATGTAAACTTTGATGTGCAATCTTACCTTATTTTTTAGTTGTGAAGACAGATCTAAAACATTTCATTTCAAACTAATATTATTTTCAACACAGAGCCTACATGCAGATAGCAGGTAAAATCACACCTTTTCAGTCTCAGTTTGCTGAGCTGTTCTTCCTTGGCAGCAATCTTTTCTTTGTCAGCAGACATGATCTTTGGCTTGTTCATCATGAGATGACGCAATTTCAGATACTCCTTCCACAGCTTTTGATACCTATAGAAATGAAAACCTGTTATATTTTGTCTAGATTAAAAGAAAGCAAGAAAGTACAGTTAAAGAGAAAAGACATTAATTCAATATAACCATTTATGACAGAAAGAGCTAGAAATAGTTTATTTTTGTCTGAATTTGTTATTCTAAATAAATTAAAATGATTCTTAAGTGTGTGTGTGTGTGTGTGTGTGTGTGTGTGTGTGTGTGTGTGTGTGTGAGCGCGTGCATGTGTATTACATCAATAAGGCAGTAGATGGTACTAGTATTACTGATTATAAAATGTAATTACAAATAAAATTACATTAAGGAAAATCAAGATATAAAGATCAAGATTTTTAATTTTATAACATGTATATTTATAAAATCTTTTAAATTATTAAAATAGGGATCAAGTAAACTCTTTGCACATATAAACATACGATGGGTCCCCCACATAGCTTAGTTTGGCTGGTTTGATGCCAAAGTGGATGATGAGAGGATAGCTGATGGAGTCTGGGGTCATGTGGTTCTTGTCCAGCTGGTCCACCCTCACTGCACTGGGCCTCTGAAGACACAGAGCAAAGTTGGTTACAGTGTTATTTACTGATGGGTAAGCCAATTGGAAGTTCAACACAAAACTTAATTGAACAATTACAGCTCTTACGGTCCAGCTACCCCCCTTCATGCATCTGACTAAATAGCAACATTGTAACTTCTCCTCACATTTACTTGGATTATATAGACCCCCCCCTCTCCCCAACTCACCTTGGCCTATACGGACCAGCGCTATATTCCCTTGCTACAGTCTTTACACATGGATGTCTACACCACTTAAAAGAATGTTTAACCTGTGTCATACTAGCTACTAATGGCCAACATTACATAGCTTATACTACTAAAACACCCTCCACCAAGAAAGATACTAAAAACAACAGGGGCATGCTGAATGCAGAGTTCCCAATGACCTTGGCAACGAAGGCACAAGTTATTAATTCATGTTCCCAGGCTTAACTCACCATCCCAGGACATGTGACCAGCATTCCCCTGACCTCCTCCACCAGGGCCTGCCACTCTCGGGCCTCTATAGTGACCAGGTCACTCAACTGGGAGGCCTCAAACAATGGCTGAGAGCTCCTCAACAAGTAACGGAATACTTCATTGATGGACAGGATCTCTTTGCCTCTTTCTGGAAATAAATATTGCTTATTTTTTTATTATAAGAAACAGATATTCTTCCTCTTTTTGGATAAGACATGTTTTTCTCGATATTGACAATCCATTAAAGATTGGTAAAAACCAAGACTTTGGTGTGAATAAATAAATATCTTATTAAATCACGATAACTTTGCCTGGCTATTATTGAAAATTTCTATCCATGTTGCATTTAGTAAATTGGAGAGGTATTTGACCAAATAAAATAACATATGCAAATTGCATAACTACTTATTGTTGGTTTATCATTTAAACCAGGGGGTTCAAAGAAAAAGTGTCTTCATTCAACCAAATTCTAACCGCACTTCTATTTCTGAAGTAAAAACACTATAACATCAGTAAAACTTATAACAACTTAAAAAACAGCAAAGTCATAAATGAGATAAAATGAAATATAGTGCTTTTATTCAATTTCTTTTGAAAAATATCCCTCACTGACCTGGCAAATTCCTGGCAAATCTTGGCATGATATGGAATAGCCGGCAGCCATCCTCTGTGACCTTGTGCCAGTCAAGGTCAACTAGTTCCAGAATTTCTGTGAAGAGAAAATCTGAGAAAAGGTCCAAGCTTCTCACTGTGAAATTCTGAAAATATTTTATAGAAAGCGTGATGTCTTGAAAACATAATATAAACTGGTAGATTTTATATAACTGATTAAATTTTTTACCTCCGTTTTACAGATAAAATATGATACAAAATAAATATGTTAAGCTATAAACATATGCAAAAATTCTGATTTAACAGCACATGCTTTTTTGTCTCAAACAAGTATACAGGAGGGAAAATACATCTGCAAACCTCTGGTGCTTGTTCTTCAAAAAAGTGTATTGTGTATGGAATACTGAATCTTGTCACTTGGCAAAGGGGAATCTGTAACATATAAGTGGCCCTGGTTTATAAGACAATATGTAAATGAAAGACCATATTCAACAAAGTACCTTTATTAAAACCTCTAACACTCACATAAAATAATCATACACCATGTTTATAATGTGAAATATATCTACAACAACACATGAAAATGTCTCATTTTTTGTTTTCTCTAAAAGAGCATTATTAAATGGTAAACTTATCATTATAAAAGGGAAAATTATTCTCATTTTTACCAAAAGTAACTTACATTATCTAACTTTTGATGAGAAAAGATTGAAAACCCTTCAAAGATGTACTCATGGCTGTCATACTCAATCACAGTGGGGTTTTTGGTCTGTAATATAAAATCCAAAAAATTGTCATAAAATTATATTAAATGTAATTATATTTTTTCTTTATTATTAATTAACAGTGTTACTGTGTAGCTGTTAAAACTGCGGATTTCAGGCTCTTTAACTCTGTAAACTACTTTGTTCTATTTTTAAAAAGATCTTGGTCTCAAAGTCATAGTTTATATCAATACTGTTTGAAGTCTTGTATGCCAAGTTTGATAACCTACCAGAAAATTGGTGTGCGGAGCCATTGTGATCCTGTAGTGATATAGTCTGTCCAGGTTGTTGCTGTCAGGGTTGCACTTTGGTGGGAGCTACAGAAAAAGGTATTTGAGTCAATTGGCTAGCTGTTACAAACACATATGCACGCACATATTATCAAAAGTACGTACATATAAATATATATCTCTTATCACTGCTTCAAGTTGATACTTCATGTAACATGAAAGAAACTTTGTCCTAGACTATCAATTCCAGCATTTAAACCTCAGTATAATTCTCTGAATCCATAACATAATCTTAGAATTTCTAAAAACTTAAAATCAAGAATCTCAGTCTGTTTATTAGAGATAGGGAATGTGATAGTCTGCAGTCTGAGAAATTCTCACCTTCTCTCCTGGGAAGATATTATGTCTTATCCCTGTCTGCCTGGCTTTCCAGCTACAACGGCATATCGGACCATCATTCATCTGAAAATTACCATAAAATGTGTCACAACTATAATGCTAGGATACCAATAATGGTGTTTCTGTTTCATATATATGACAGAGGAATACAGCATACAGATCTTTTGTCATACTGTGTATTAAAAGGATACAAAAACATGCCACAAAATAAGACATTATGCAATATTTTATTATAATGAGTAGTCAAACGAAAACTACGGACAAAAAAATACTAAGAGCATAATAATAGGACCTAAAATGACAGTTTCTATAAAACACTCCTATTTTGTATAAGAGACAAACTAGTAAAAGAAAAGCATTTGATTAATTCATTTAATAACCCATCGTTATATCACCTCACTGGATCCCGTTTCTTTATCAAATATTTAGAATGCAGAACCCAAAAAAGTCCTAATGTCAGTAACAAAAATACTACAGAACTCACAACTCACCTCCCCTACTTCATTAAACCATAAGTCTTCATGCAGCCTCTCTGGATGCTGTTTCTTAATCTTCATCTCCTCCAGCCACATGTTAAGTTCTTCATCCTCATCCTCGTCCTCAGAGGAGGAGGAGGAACTACTGCTGCTGTCGTGGTGGTCTGTAATATAGGGGCAAGGAAGTTACTTTTAGAGCAAGAATCATTGTCATCCTCAGTGTGAGAGGAGGATTAGGATAGCAGAGTAAAACTGCTGCTGTCATTGTTGTTAAAATTAGAGAGTCAAAGAAAATTACAACTATCAGAACTTCCTCAAACACACCACTGCAACCTTAATGTAATCTTCATCATTATTACTATAACAACAAACTTAATGTTAATCTCAGTTTTTTCATAGAGATTGTTGTTAAATATTCAAAACTACAGGAAAATTGTATTTTGTGGGGCGCCAATATTCTTTTTGCAGCAAATCTTTAGACATTTACCATTTCAGTTGTATTTTTTTTACCTGAATGGCAGTGAAAATGCAAAGGCATTTTTCTTGGTGGCCTTTCATACTTTGGTTTGGCAGCTCTAGCTTTCTCAGCTCTCTTGACAAGTTCTCCTTCGAATTTATCTTCTAGATCCTGCATCCGTTTGGTAGCAGTTATGTTGCTAGACTGAATAATAAAGGAAGACTGGTTTCTTACATATTAAGTGAGTCAATATTCTAAACTTCTACACAATTTGTGTCAATTAGCAAAGCCTGTCTGATGACAATCTTTACCACAATTCATCATAATATAATGAAATATTCTTACACAAACTATATGATTACATTAGTGGTCATAATGACCTACTTGTTAGTTAAAATTCAAGATTTCCTAAAATTATGACTGAAATAATATATTAACCTAGGTGAATGTCTGAATGATCATAAACTATATACTGGAATTAAACTAAGTAGTGAGATATGTCAATCAGCAGTATAAAAATTCCAGTTAAAGAAACAACTTACACCACTTTGTCTCTGAAAATATAAATCAGCAGGGGAGCACCTCTGCCATGCAGGAAGTGCAGGTTCGCCACTGTCATCATTGTCTTCTCCACCATCACCGTCATCGGACATTTTCTCAGACATTGTCTCCGACTGTCTGGATGTACCTGGAGAAGGAGACCCCCTGGATCCTTCGGCTTGTCTTGGAGGTTTACTCCGACTTTCCCTAATAACATATATATAAGAACATGATCAATGAGTATCGTCATGATGAGTGTTCACATGCTATTGGATGTTGGTAGATCTGTTAATGATTCTCACTCGGGGTAGAAGATAAGAGTGAAACGTATCAGTTTCACATAAGTTTTTGTTCCAATGTAAGTGATTAATATCACTATAAATCAGTAACTAATAAGAACACGACTTTTGTATTATTCAGCAGTATGCATTATTCAAATGAATACATTTAAGTCAACAGTAGAAAGTGCCATTTCACATCCTGAACATAGTCACGTTTTTAGATTACTTTTATACAAAACTGATTTCAGGGAAAAAAAGTTTGTAATCAGCTTGCAAACCTGTCACTGTCTCTTGACCTAGAATCTGCTCTCCTTTGTTTCCTGGGGCTGTCACTGCCACGATCCCTGCTTACACTGCGCTTTCTTGAGGAAAACCTACAAAATAACAAAGTTAAATGTCTNCTTATCGTGTTATCGGTAAAAGTGCACGGTGACGACGGCGACGGCGACGACAGACGCAGATGACGGCTATATGTACAGACACATCTGTGTCTGTACATAAAAAAGGGAGGAAAACTAATTTAAATATAATTAAAAATATTAGAACTTTGGAGAGAAGATACAGAAGCTTAAATGGTAGTTTCTGTACCTTGTGAGGAATTCTATCACAGCATCCCCCAGGAACTCCAACCTCTCATTGGTATTGATGTGAGACCTTTGTTCTTCACGGAAACCCATTCTGGACATAATGTTGATCAGTACATTCAGACCTTGGAAAATATTTATCATTTCATTAAGACTTATGATATATAATATTAAAATCACTCCACTTTGTTACGGAAAAAAAAAAGATTTGAGAGACAAAAAATGGAAATGTACTTGAGAGAATGCCTCAAAAAATGTCACACAGAATTCCTTTAACTTCATCAAAAGCATAATCATCATTTTTTCACCTCGTTTTCTAGCCCGTGAAACCTTCTCTCCGTACTCTGGTGTTCTTAAGCCACAGGCAGACAGGGAATTTCTGGCATGGTCAGGATTTGTGCCATAACTTAGTTTATAGGAAGAGTGTGTCATAGCCAGCTGAAAGGAAACGAGTAAAAATATTGATCCTTATTACCAAACTATAATTTCAAACTACATCAATTTGAAAGCAATATAACACAAAAATTGGAGTCACAACAAATCACTGTCCTTTAAATAATACAAAACAAAAAAGAAAAGAAATGCTTTCGTTAAGAGCGCAAACTTTAAGAAGTTGTGAACATTAGAATAAGTACACAATTTTAAAACAAAGTCTAATAACTGAATTAGAGAATAATATCTGACCTGTAGAAGAGATCTGTCTTTAAAGTTGTATTGTATAATATTCTCCAGCTCTCCCAGACACATGTGGAACCTCAGGTGTGTGATCAACACAGGTAACAACAGGGCATGCTGGAATAACATGGACCAAACAGACTGCCATTAATTTTACATAGCCTTTTTAAAGAACACCATAATTCGAATAATTACTTGACGTTTTTCACCTCAAACAAAGAAAAATATTGTTTACTTTAATCTAAAAATTAGAAAAGTACATCAATCAGAAAAGCTTGGTTTTTACAAGCGATGTCTAGTGTAAATTGATTATATAGAAATTGACCAGAAACCACATAAGATCTCTACCTGGCACACGTCCGACCTGATGCCAGTTTTGATGAAGTTTTCTGCACTGAGCTCTATAGTCACTTCTCTCTTCATTGTTCTGGATCAATTGCAAACAGGCATTTAAATGTTTTTAGATTCATTCAAGAGCAGAGAGCCTAAATAATTGTTGTAAACTTTGATATGTAATCTCATCTAATTTTTTTCAAGTTATGATGACAGACTACATAAAACATTTCATTTAAAACTAATATTATTTTCAACACAGAGCCTACATGCAGATAGCAGGTAAATCCTCACCTTTTCAGTCTCAGTTTGCTGAGCTGTTCTTCCTTGGCAGCAATTTTCTCTTTGTCAGCAGACATGATCTTTGGCTTGTTCATCATGAGATGACGCAATTTCAGATACTCTTTCCATAGCTTTTGATACCTATAGAAATAAAAAAGCAGTTCCATTTTGTCTAGATTCACAGACAGTAAGAAATTACAGTTAAAAAGCAAAGAAATTAATTGAAAATAAGAATTTAAGATAGAAAGAGAGAAATGGTTTATCTTTGTCTCAATTTACTGTTAAACTAAATTAATTAAAATGCATATATAGTATTTTAATATACATTAATATTACACTAATTAGGCATGAGATGGAACTAGTATTAAAGATTATGTCTAATTACAAAGAAAAAGGTACTAAAGAAAATCATGATTTAATAGATGATTCAATTTTTAATAATTAATTCTGATTCAGTTATTCCATAAGTCATCAATGGGGATCAAGTAAACTCTTTGCACATATGAACATACGATGGGTCCCCCACATAGCTTAGTTTGGCTGGTTTGATGCCGAAGTGGATGATGAGAGGATAGCTGATGGAGTCTGAGGTCATGTGGTTCTTGTCCAGCTGGTCCACCCTCACTGCACTGGGCCTCTGAAGACACAGAACAAAGTTGGTTACTTAGTTGTGTTATTTACTGATGGGTAAGCCAAATGGAAGTCCAATACAAAACTTAATTCAACAATTACAGCTCAGCTACCCCACTTTATGCACCTGGCTAAAAAACAGTATTGTATCTTCTCACATTAATGCTGGTCTATAATATAGACCCCCTGCAATTACCTTGGTCTATACAGACCTGTCCAGAGCTCTATATTCTCCTACTATGGTCATTACATGTGGACCTGTACAACATGAAAGAATATTTAACCTGTTTCATACTAGCTACTAATGGCCAATAACACAAAGCCTACAGTATACTACTAAAACACCCTCCACCAAAATGGATGCTAGATGCAACAGAGGAAAGCTGATGGTAGAGTTCCCAATGACCTTGGCAACCAAGGCACAAGATATTAATTTGTGTTCTCAAGCCTTCCTCACCATTCCAGGACAAGTGACCAGCATTCCCCTGACCTCCTCCACCAGGGCCTGCCACTCTCGGGCCTCTATAGTGACCAGGTCACTCAACTGGGAGGCCTCAAACAATGGCTGAGAGCTTCTCAACAAGTAACGGAATACTTCATTAATGGACAGGATCTCTTTGCCTCTTTCTGGAAATAGATATTGCTTATTTTTTTATTATAAGAAACAGATATTCTTCCTCTTTTTGGATAAGACATGTTTTTCTCGATATTGACAATCCATTGAAGATTGGTAAAAACCAAGACTTTGGTGTGAATAAATAAATATCTTATTAAGTCAAGATAACTTTGCCTGACTATTATTGATAATTTCTATCCATGTTGCATTTAGTAAATTGGAGAGGTATTTGACCAAATAAAATAACATATGCATATTGCATAACTACTTTTTGTTGGTTTATCATTTAAACCAGGGGATTCAAAGAAAAATGTCCTCATTCAACCAAATTCTAACCTCACTTCTATTTCTCAAGTAAAAACACTATAACATCAGTAAAACTTATAGCAACTTAAAAACAGCAAAGTCATGAATGAGATAAAATGAAATATAGTGCTTTTATTCAATTTCTTTTGAAAAATCTCCCTCGCTGACCTGGCAAATTCCTGGCAAACCTTGGCATGATATGGAACAGCCGACAGCCATCTTCTGTGACCTTGTGCCAGTCAAGGTCAACCAGTTCCAGAATTTCTGTGAAGAGAAAATCTGAGAAAAGGTCCAAGCTTCTCACTGTGAAATTCTGAAAATATGATGTTATAGAAAGCATGATGTCTTAAAAAACATAATATAAACGGTAAATTTTATATAACTGATTCAATTTTTTACCTCCATTTTACAGATAAAATATGATACAAAATTAATATGTTGAGATATAAACATATGCAAAAAAATTCTGATTTAACAGCACATGCTTTTTGGTCTCAAACAAGTATACAGGAGGGAAAATACATCTGCAAACCTCTGGTGCTTGTTCTTCAAAAAAGTGTATTGTGTATGGAATACTGAATCTTGTCACTTGGCAAAGTGGAATCTGTAATATATACATGGCCCTGGTTTATAAGACAATATGTAAATGAAAGACCATATTCAACAAAGTACCTTTATTAAAACCTCTAACACTCACATAAAATAATCATACACCATGTTTATAATGTGAAATATATCTACAATAACACATGAAAATGTCTCATTTTTTGTTTTCTCTAAAAGAGCATTATTAAATGGTAAACTAATCATTATAAAAGGGAAAATTATTCTCATTTTTACCAAAAGTAACTTACATTATCTAACTTTTGATGAGAAAAGATTGAAAACCCTTCAAAGATGTACTCATGGCTGTCATACTCAATCACAGTGGGGTTTTTGGTCTGTAATATAAAATCCAAAAAACTGTCATAAAATTATATTAAATGTAATTATATTTTTTCTTGCATTTTGTATTATTATTATTAATTAACAGTGTTACTGTGTAGCTGTTAAAACTGTGGACTTCAGGTTCTTTAACTCTGAAAACTACTTTCTTCTACTTTAAAAAAGATCTTGGTTTCAAAGTCATAGTTTATATCAAAACTGTTTAAAGTCTTGTATGCCAAGTTTGATAACCTACCAGAAAATTGGTGTGCGGAGCCATTGTGATCCTGTAGTGATATAGTCTGTCCAGGTTGTTGCTGTCAGGGTTGCACTTTGGTGGGAGCTACAGAAAAAGGTATTTGAGGCAATTGGCTAGCTGTTACAGACACATATGCACGCGCACATTATCAAAAGTGCATACATATAGATATATATCTCTTATCACTGCTTCAAGTTGATACTTCCTGTAACATGAAAGAAATTTTGTCCTAGACTATCAATTCCAGCATTTACACCCCAGTTTAATTCTCTGAATCCATAACATAATCGTAGAATTTCTAGAAACTTACAATCAAGAATCTCAGTCTGTTTATTAGAGATAGGGAATGTGATAATCTGCAGTCTAAGAAATTCTCACCTTCTCTCCTGGGAAGATATTATGTCTTATCCCTGTCTGCCTGGCTTTCCAGCTGCAACGGCAAATTGGACCATCATTCATCTGAAAATTACCATAAAATGTGTCACAACTATAATGCCAGGATACCAACAGTGGTGTTTCTGTTTCATATATATATGACAGAGAAATACAGCATACTGATCTTTTGTCATACTGTGCATTAAAATGATACAAAAACATGCCACAAAATAAAACATTATGCAATATTTTATCAAAATGAGTCGACAAACAAAAACTACGGACAATAAAAATACTAAGAGCATAATAATAGGACCTCAAATGACAGAGTTTCTATAAAGCACTCCTATTTTGTATAAGAGACAAACTAGTAAAAGAAAAGCATTTGATTAATTCATTTAACAACCCATCGTTATATTACCTCACTGGATCCCGTTTCTTTATCAAATATTTAGAAAGCAGAACCCAAAAAAGTCCCTATGTCAGTAACCAAAATACTACAAAACTCACAACTCACCTCCCCCACTTCATTGAACCATAAGTCTTCATGCAGCCTCTCTGGATGCTGTTTCTTAATCTTCATCTCCTCCAGCCACATGTTTAGTTCTTCATCCTCATCCTCGTCCTCAGAGGAGGAGGAGGAACTACTGCTGCTGTCATGGTGGTCTGTAATAGTGGCAGTAATTAATTTTGGAGCATGAAACATTCTCATCCTCAGAGGAGTGGGAAAAGGAAAAAGGAACAACTTTTGCTGCCATTGTTGTTTGACATTAAGAAAGTCAAGGATATTATAGAAACTTTAGGAACTTCCTCAAAAGCACCCCTGCAACCATATTATTATAATCATTATTATTATTACAGAAATCTTAATCTTAGCTTTTCTCACAGAGATTGTTTTTCATGACTGTTGAATATTTAAAACTAAAGGAAATTTGTATTTTGTGGGTTACCAATAAGCTTTTCAAATTAGACATTAATAATTTTAGTTGAATTGTTTTTACCTGAGTGGCAGTGAAAATGCAAAGGCATTTTTCTTGGTGGCCTTTCGTACTTCGGTTTAGCAGCTCTAGCTTTCTCGGCTCTCTTGACAAGTTCTGCATCAAATTTATCTTCTAGATCCTGCATCCGTTTGGTAGCAGTTATGTTGCTAGACTGAATAATAAGGGAAGACTGGTTTCTTACAAATTAAGTGAGTCAATATTCTAAACTTCTACACAATTTGTGTCAATTAGCAAAGCCTGTCTAATGACAATCTTTACCAAAATTCATCAAAATATAATGAAATATTCTTAAACGAACTATATGATTACATCAATGGTCATAATGACCTGCTTGTTAGTTAAAATTTAAGATTTCCTAAAATTATGACTGAAATAATATATTAACCTAGGTGAATGTCTGAATGATCATAAACTCTATACTAGAATTTAACTAAATAGTGAGATAGTCAATCAGCAATATAAAAATTCTAGTTAAACAAACAACTTACACCACTTTGTCTCTGAAAATATAAATCAGCAGGGGAGCACCTCTGCCATGCGGGAAGTGCAGGTTCGCCGCTGTCATCATTGTCTTCTCCACCTTCACCGTCATCGGACATTTTCTCAGACATTGTCTCCGACTGTCTGGAAGTACCTGGAGGAGGAGAAGACCCTCTGGATCCTTCTGCTTGTCTTAGAGGTTTACTTCGACTTTCCCTAAAAACATATATATAAGAACATGATCAATGAGTATGTTCATGGTTCCAAGGAATTGTATTAGTTTTAAGAGCATCGTCAGGCCGAGTGTTCACATGCTATTGGATGTTGGCAGACCTGTAAATGACTCTCACTCAGGGGATAGGATAAGTGTGAAATGTATCAGTTTCATATAATTTTCCGTTCCAAAGTAAGTTATTAATATCACTGAAATCAGTAACTAATGACTAAGAACCTGACTTTTGTATTTTTCGGCAGTGTGCATTATTCAAATGAATACATGTGCAAGTCAACAGTAGAAAATACCATTTCCCCTCCTGAACACAGTCACATATTAAGATTACTATGTCGCGATTTTGATATCAGGAAAAAAAGTTTTGTAATCAGCTCACAAACCTGTCACTGTCTCTTGACCTAGAATCTGCTCTCCTTTGTTTCCTGGGGCTGTCACTGCCACGATCCCTGCTTATACTGCGCTTTCTTGAGGAAAACCTACAAAATAACATAAAGTTAAATGTCTATGGAAAAACACACAGTAAGACTTTCAGATTTATTTGATGACAAGGAAAAAATTCAAGGGAAATACTCCTAAAATGAAAATGGTTCACTTAAACTTAAAATAATCTTTTACATACCCAGGTGTTTGAATATCATAACCACTGTTCTTAAAACAATTTAAAGATGCTTAAATTTTTTTATCTTTACACAATTCTGAATATAATATTTCAAAGACAGTTTTTGTGCTGATTATGAGCACCAATCACCTGTTATCTCTCCTGCTTCTCTCCCTGCTTGAGTCTCTTCCTCCAGTCTTAGAACTTTTACTTCTATATTGCACAGGACTTGTTCTCCTATCTCCTCTATTTTCACGTCTATCAGCAGCTGGTCCCAATCTTCTACTCCCTTGCCTTTCTTCATAAGAGTCCAGCCTTCTATCTGACCTACCACTTTGTCCTTCTCTGCCAGTCCCTGCTCGTCCAGATCTTTTATAATCCACACTGGAATTAGATGGACTGGACTGCCTGGATGATGAATTGCTTCTTGGCCTTCTGTCTCTTGAGGAATCTCTTGGAAGTCTGTTTCTTTCATTGTCTCTTTGTTGAAAGTCTCTGTCCCTACGATTGTCTTGAAATCTACCACCTTGCCTGTCTCTGTCTCTTCCCAAACCTTCAGTGTTCCTGTAGTAGCCATCTTCTGGACCCCTGTCTCTGCCATCACTGTCACTGTGCGGCCTATCATTCCTCATGGCTGGGCCAAATCTGCCATCTGGGCCAAATTCTCTCTGAAATTCATCCCCACATCTTCCAAAGTCTGGTCCATAGTTGACAGGTGGTTGATGAAAAGGTGGACCTCCTGGTTGCTCATTCAAAGGAAACTGATTGAATCCTGGTGCCCCCTGTTGATGGGGATTGAAACCAGGCCCTTGGTTGTTATATCCTGGTCCTCCCATTGGTGGGTAAGGGAGGTTACCTGTGGAAGTATTGAAATTGTTAAGTCTTTTAAAAAATGGTAAATTAGAAATATCCATTTAAAGACAGATGAGTATACATTTGCTTATCACATTTCCACCATATTTAAGTGAAGATGTAATCTGGTCATGCACGATTTTAAAAAAATTGGAAAACTGAATAACTGTTGTGGCATATTTTTTAATGTTAAAATATTACTAAAACACAAAACAAGTGCTAAAGTGAGTATACATGCATACTAAACACCATATATTTTATTAACTTTCCCAAATATACTTACTACAAAACATTGTAAGCTAAATCAAAGACATACCTTGCATATTCCCATAAGATCCCAATGGCCCTCTGTTTTCTCCAAGCTGAAACCCTGGCATCTGCTGGGGACCTGGTCCTCCTGGCATTGGCCCTCCAACTGGCATAGGAGGAGGCATCATGCCAGGTGGCCCTGGACCAAAGTTTTGTGGCCCTGGTGGCATGGGTCCTCCATATGGTGGCGCCACTGAGGGGTCTGGATACATCTGTGATGGGGCGCCTGAATTCCAACCACCCGTTGTCTGAAGAAATACCAGTAAAATAACAATTTAAGTTAAGATATGCTATATGTTAAGTCATCTTCAACAGAAAGTTGCCACTATGTTCAAATCTGCTGGACAGCTTCTGTAAATCTCATGAATTACATTTATCTATTAAAAATATCCATAAACAGCCATTAAAACACTAATACTGATAAATTAAAATTCAGTTATCTTTAAATAATAAAAAAGATTTAAAGATCATTCCTACATCTTCAATGATGTATTGCTAATGCAGTTCTCCACTAACTAGAATAAACTACAGACAGTTATTTAAGCGACCGATAGTCTGATGTGATAAAACAAAAGCCGCATTAATTATGTAGTTACTAGTAAATGACCGTGACATTTAACGGCATTGAAGCATCTTGCGCGACAACTTACCCCACTCATTCCCTCTCTCTGGTACCGAGAATCACCATATCTTCCCCCTCTATCTCTAAAAGACATTTTTATTGTTACACAGACTCACAGACACAGCATTTTTCTCTGCAGGGAAATCCGCGAGATGTTTCAGTGAAAGGGGGAAAAAGTTGTCATCGATAGCCATCTAATGCGGTTTATCACATTTTATCCAAGATAGTCCTCAACCCTAGTAAGCATCAAAAGCTTACGTACAGTAGGAGTGGATCATGCACATTTTGGAAAAAAAAAGTACTTTTGATAGCACCATTCTGCTGCTTAAAATAATGAGGGTGTCTTAGCAACGAATGGAGAATTGTAATCAATTCTTAATAAATCTTCTGGCACATCTTGTAGGCATGCAATTTTTATGTTGGTTCACACAAAATGAATAAAATAGAAAAGAAACCAAAAGCCAACTTAGATCAGTATCAATCAAAGCAATGCAAAAATGTTTCATAAAACAATATAGTTTTATTTCACTATAATTTCATACTGCTGTAACACTGAACAACATGTACATTTACTCAAAGTTGAGAAATACAACAATATGTACACTACATGTATGCTCCTACAACACACTTTTCGCATTTAATTTGCACTGTACCTGAATTTTTCATCACGTTTTGTAAGAAAACAACAATATCTAATATTTTTCACTTACTGTAGTATTCTGTTGTACCGCATAAAATAAACATAAGTAAACTAGACTCATACATATACATTTGCACACATATATCTGCACAGCCTTTATGGGACAACACTTCATACATGGGCAATAAGAGATCATGACAATTACTTGTAAACAATGCAAATAACACTTAATATAAACAAGGCAATCTTTTGCATTTTTTTTTTTTTTGCTTATGTTATCTCATTATAATATCAAATCCTCAAATGTGTTTTTAGTCTTTGGCCTTCCACAAACCTCCAAAGTGTAATGTAACATTATATGTGGGTGAAAGAACTTTTTGCACAAATTTTTCAAATTTATAATACACATGTATAATAATATATAAAAATTATGCATTTCAATATGACGAAAAATCCATGACAATATTGCTTCCATGAAACTCTCTCTCTTTTTTCATAAGAGATATTTCAGATCCAAAATTTATAATGTTTGACTGAAATATATCCCAAACACAATGAGGACAATAAAATTGCAATAAGGATAAAGAAAAGTCACATGTACGATCAAGTTACACTCTAAACAAACAGAAAACAAAGGAATGACAAAAAATCACAAAATGCTTATTGACTTTGAAAATTTGGCAGGAGTCCAAATGCATACATAGCACTATAGCTCGTTATGCACAGGTCCACTCATTCTAGGTCCTCTGTTCTTGTCTTTCTTCTTTTTCTTCTTGTTTTTCTTAATGTCCACTTTCTGGTCATCTTGCACTTCTAAGTCTTTCAAGAGCTGATATTTATAAAAAAGAAAGAGAAGATAAGTGTTAGTATTTTTTCTCATTGTGAAAGGAAATTTAAAATTGTTTGCACAATTCTAACATGTTACATCTTACTTCAACATATAGCAGCAAGGATAAAACTTTAACTAAATTAAATTCTCCAAGACACATCCAAGTCTTTTAGGTCAAAACAGGCTCCAAAGGCAACTTTAACAGTATCTAGCATTTGACAAGGTCTTTTGTGCAGGAAAAGCCAATTGTTCTCATTAGTTTTAACAAATTTACCACACTGTCATGCCATCCTTTTTCATATTAACCCACCTTCTTGTTTCCTGAGGTATAGGGGTTCACATATGCTGGGTCTCTGTCCACTAAATTCATCTCTTGTGCCATCTTGAAAGTAACAAAAATGTAAGGAATAATTAAACAATAATCATATAAATATAATAAATATTTGAAGTCTTTATTCTAAAACCAAGACCTGCTGGAGTCAAATCTAAAATAGTACATCACAACAATTATTCTTCTTTTCAAAACATTAGTTTATATATTGCTTGGTAGCAAATTTTTTATGTCTTTCAGGGGCAGATTTAGGGCGTCTTCTGGGACTTCCGGAAGATGGTCAGATTTTCAAGTTTACATTGACGGGTATCCAATTTTTTCTGTCGGAAGACGGTCAAAAATGAGGAACGGATCAACAAAGATAATTTGGAAGACTCTGAATCCGCTCCTGTCTTTACCTAACTGTAACCAGACAATTCTGAGAAATAATGAAAAGGGTTTAAGCCTATCAATAATGAATATTCTGGTCACTTAGTGACAATAAAATAATTATTACATGTAAGATATCACTGAATTTTTCAGTCAATATAAAAGGAAATCATTATAATTACCAGATTCAACATCTTAAGATTAGGTCCTTCAAATATCTTGGATTCATTGCAAAATGCCACACTCCACCCAATGAGAAGCTGCCATTCTTTTTTCTTGTCTATCAATTTATGACTTATATCTGGCATTCTAAGAATGATGTCCCCGAAGAATGCTGTGTTTTCTAAAACATGAGAATGTGCTGAAAAAAAGAGAAAAAATCTGATGTGTGCAATATGACAATACAATATTCAATCATGATTGCCATAAATAATGTAACATAAATGTGGTTTACATGTTTCAATATTAACTGCTATGAAACTACCATGAGACAAATAGAGCTATATATAATAAAATGAATAGACAACTGGGCAAAAACAGCCATAAAACTAGCTTGCGACAAATAAAGCAAATGTAAAAACAATTGGGCAAAGATTGAACTTTTAAAGCTGATAATGTATTTACAGCAAATTTCATTCTAAGTAATTTAATATGCAACTTCAACAACATCTAGCATTTGACAGTATCTAGCATTAAACAGCAATCCACATGGTGATAAATGTTTTTTGTGTGCCATTACTTCATTTGGCAGCATTACATTGTTTATATGTAGCAGAGGACCAGAATAAAAAAACAAAATGAGCTTATATTTTTGATACAAACATGACTCTAGCAGGAAAACCATTCCTTAGAACTTCTAAATACATTTTGGTACTTGCACCTATTCTGCATGCTGATATATAAAAAAGTAAACAAATTTAAATTGCTAAGGTATAATTTACATGCTAACATGACCCTTGCACATGTACAGGAGTGTGCATGGTGTACTCACCATCTCTGAGGGTCATATTCTTTGTTGGTATAGGGTCACCTGGAGTGAAACCAGACTGCATCAAAGTCAACTTGGAAGCAGCTAGCATCTGAAATAGAGAGGGTACAATAAAACTATAAGCCTTAGTATATGATATACTGATACATGTAGGATCAAATTTTCAATGTAGCTGGAAACAAGTACTTCAGCATTTTGTACTACATTTAATTAATAATTTTAAAATCATTACTTTAACAACACAATTGTTAATATTGTTTTGTAATTTTGTTATATTACTAATTTATTATTTTTACATTGTACATTGCTCTGAAATGCATGTGGAACGCTTTTTTTAAGAAAAAAAAAAGATTACTATTATTCTGAGTCTAAGTAATCCACATGATACTGAAGCACTGTTGTAAACATACCAGTACTGCATAATTTGGGTATATTAAAGGGATAATAACTCTTCGTTTCGGCCAAAAAATGAATTTTCCTGGAGTAAACAACAATTTTCCCACACTTACCAATGGTTAATGAATCCATTTTACATTCAAAGTAAGTCCCTGGTTTTTTTCTAAAAAGTTTGGTTTTTTGTTAAAATCTCTTAAGAGATTTTAACAGAGTATAGCCATCAATGGAGGTCACGTGGTCTAAAGACAAGCTCAGAATAATAGCTATAACTGCTGTTTTTGTGGTAAAACAGAATATATTATATTTCTATGAGTTATTCACAATGTTTTTATTGTGAAATATAGATCTCATACAAAGAGTTATTATCCCTTTAAGCAACAAACAAAATTCAGCATTCCCCCCGAAAAGCTATAAAATCAAACTGTCCACCAAAGCATAAAATTCAATCACCTGGAAGAGATTCTCAAATATTTTTGAAACCATCTTGTATTGTTTTTCGTAATTGTTGAAAGCCAGGATTTTCTTCACCGCATCCACTTGTGCTGCTCTCTTGTGCTTAAACATTTTCTTATCTGTTCTAAGTCAAGGTGCATTTCCATAATTTGCATTACAAAATGATACAGCTGAGTTGGGAAATACATTACTCATTAGGGATTTCGATTTTTAAAGTAATATGCAATTCACCAAAACAGTGAATTCCAAAAAATAACGTTTAATATATATCAGTATATGGATTTGGAAGATAATGATTGCAACTATTTTATATTTTCAATAAGTATTATGAGCATTTCCAATATTTTAACGATTTACATTCAAAATTCAATTTAGCAACCCCTCTCTAAC